ATGTAATTTATAAGTTTTTAAGTATAATTTTTAGATATATTCAAATTTAAATATATTGAGCCTATTTTATATATATTTTAAAATTAACAAATATTAACAATTAATTTAATTAACAAATAATAGTTTATGAAATCAAAAATAAAACATTTTATTTTTATTTTATTGATATTTAAATATTAAAAAGTAATTGGAATAATTTGTATATATGAATTATATATATATTTGTATATATGAAAAGAAAATATTTCAATAAATATATACATATTTTTAATATAATCACTTTATTTACAGTAATCAATAATATTATTGAGTAAGTATCAATGATCATCAGTGAAATTTATGAATAAAGACTGACTTATATAATTTATTTTAAATATTTTATTAAACATGGCAAATTTTTTTTTAAATTTAATTAATTTTCGGCACTTGATTTTTTTAAAATTATAATCAAAGAATGAAAGAAGTCAGTCTTTTAATCAATTTAAGCTGCAAATGTACTTGTATGATATAAACTTAAATGATATAATATACATAGTATATCTAAGTAATATATACATTTTTAATTAGATACCTACTATCATCTGCAATTTAAAGATATTTCTTCATCAAACATATAAATATTTCCAATTTTTATTGGAAGTAAGAACATTATATTATACATATTTCACATTAGAAGAAATAGCAACAATATTTGTCATATATCACCAATTTCTATAAGTTTTGATATCTGAAGAGATCAAAATTTTCGTGAGCGGCCCCGTTTTCTGAGCGTTGTAATTTTACTTGTCACTGACCTAGTAGTATGTAACTTTTTTTGAATATTTGACACAGATTTTGTATTTTTTTGTAAATTTCTATGTTTCTTCAAATGTTGTACAAAAAGTAATCTAGATCTAATTATTTTCTTACATATTTGACATCTGCGAATTTGTTGTTCTATAAAAAAATATTTTTCAATTATTTTCATATTTTCAATTACATAAAAATATTATTAGTTTAGAATAAGAATAATAATTTGAGAATTATATTAACCAATTATTATAATTACATTAAGATTTAAAATCTTACCAGATTTTTTTGTACCATGCTGTAAACAATGTGCTCTTAACAAGGCAGCACTAGGAAACCATCTACCGCAGTCAGAACAGCTTAATTTTTTACTTCCCATGTATAATTTGGTCGTTGATTTCTTTTTTTTTAATTCTTTTAATTATACTTATTTGTTTTTTTGATTCAGTATGCTCTTTCTTTTCTTTAATTTCAGTTGATCGTTCAACTGATAATTTACTGAACTTACGTTTTTTTCTTTGAGAATGTTCTGAACGTACATGACGTGCTAATGCTACTACTACATCGAACTTTTGTTGACATATTTTACAAGCATATTGTTTTTTAATAGTATTTTCAATTGTATCATTTTCTTGTTTTAAATTTTGTTCATTAAATCGTATAGTATTAGCTGGTGATTTTGAACAAACTCGCAAATGTGTTTCTAGAGCTCTTTGTTGTCTAAAATTTCTTGAACAATATTGACATTGTAATAAAATTGTTTTTGAATTTGACTGTGATTCATCATCGGAATCTCCAACCATAATAATTTCATTTTCTTTATCACTAGAATATTTATCTTTACTATCATCTATAGTTATTTCAACAACATCCTGTTGTGATTGCAAAATATTTTCTTCTTCATCAATATCAATTTCAATAATTTCCACTTCTTTTCGTTTAATTTTTTTCATTCTTTTTGAGTCATTATTTCTTTGATGATAATTAGGATGAGCTACAACTCTTTTGCTTCGTTTTACTCTTTTTCTAATATTATTGTCTTCTTCAGTTAAAAGAGATGCTGGTTGTATAATAATTTCCGAATCTTCACGATTTACAGAAATCAATTGTTGTTTTCGAGATCGCTTAGTTTTATACTGTATTTGTGACGATTCAGGTGATGTATATTCAATCGAACCATTTGATATATCTAAATTTGTACTACATGATATTAAATCTGTTGATGAATCTGTTAATGTCTCTAATAATTCTTGTTGGCTATCTAATAATTTAATTTTCTTTTTGTTAAATTATTAGATATTCTATTAGATCCATTAGAATTTTGATACATTGAAGTTTCATATTCAGTTTCTTTAATATTTCCAATATTATTTTGATCTCTAATGATTTTTTTATTTACTTGCTTTTTCATTGCATTTGATTTCAAATTTTGAAGAGTTTCATGAATTTCATCAAATGTTAGTTCGGAATCAGATTGATCACCTTCAAATAAAATATATTGTACAGTTGACTGTTGTATAAATTCACCATCACTTTTATCATCTTCTTGACACTCTTGAGAATTATCTATTAAATTTATATGCTTTTATAATATTTAAAGTTTTACTGTAATAAAATATAATCTTATATAGAAATAATTATAATTTTTAAATACATACCTATATTTACAGAACAATCACCCATCATTAAATATGTTACATCTGACTGCTTTTCATTTGTTGCATATATAACATTAGGAACTCGTTTTTTATGTAAATTTAAATTAGAATCTTTCATTAAAGTTGAATTTTCTTCCAATATATCTTTTCTTTTTTAATTTTTCCATTTTCATTTGTTACGATTTTATTTTCATTATCCATTAATATATCATCTGTCGATTCATTTTTAGGAAAAAATATCGGTGATTGAGTAGTTAATAAATGTTTTCTTATCTGTGTTGGTTTTTTGACAGTTCTAACTGCACCTTCACCTATTAATCTTTCAACATCCGCTCTATAAATAAGATTATTTTATTATTTGTATTATATACAATTACATGTTTATTATCAATGGAATACATAATATATGAATAAATATATATACTTCATTAGAAATTGAAAATTTGTTGGAGGTTCACCAGATTCATCATAAACTGCTACAGCAAAAATTTCTTCTGAATCTTCAACTGCATATAATGCTAATTGTTGACCAGCAGCAGTTACAAATGTAGCTATTGTTTCTTCATCTCCATCTTGATCATCATTTATTACTTTAATATACATTTCAGTTTCACTTTCTTCTGATTCTGATAACTATCATATTATGTTAATTTATATTACAATAAAAGATATAATATTCATTTTTATAATTGATTTTAAATTTACAATATGTAAATTATAATATAATTATAACATACTAACATAAAAAAATATTTTTATCATTTCGATATATTATATTCTCTTTTAATATAATTTTAAATGTTTAATAATATTAATAATAATATTTAATCATTAATAATATTTACCAATAAATCTTCTTTATTGATGTCATTAGGAATCCATTTCCGTCTGGATGTATCTAATGTAGATAATGGTATAGAATCTTCTGTATATTTTACAGACATTGTTGTATCTATACTTTCTTCAAAATATTTAGAAGTATTTTTCTGTTTACAAATAACTTCTTCTGAAATTTTTTGATTTATATTTTCATCTACAATTATTTCTTCACCAACAACCTATATATAATATTTTTAATTAATAAAAAAATTAAAATAAACTAAAAATATAAATGATATAATATAAATTTTAAATATATATATATATTAAATTTTATATATATATATAAAATTTATATTATATATATATATCAAAATACTAATTATTTTATTACTAGTGTTTCCTCTGTATGTTCATATTTAGGCAAAACCATAAATTCTGTTGCAGTTTCATTTACTGTACATGATTTTTGTACATCTTCAGAAACCATCTTTTTATAAATATTAATATCATTCACAAATGACATTTTTTTTCTGTTGCTCTATATAGTCACTAATAATTATATTATTTCAGTCATTAAATATGTACATTAATAAAATATAATTCCTAAAATACAAAATTAAAAATATATGTTAAAAAATATGTTTGTGTATTAATTAACTAACAATGGAATATTATAAAAATTATTTGATATGAAAGAAAACATAAAATATCAATATAATTATTTACTTAGGGTTATACTCATAGTAATAATTATGACTTACAAGATAAAGATTTTATTAATAGCAAATGATAATTAGATGCACACTTCTTTTTACATTTAACACAAATCGATATATATGTAATGAATTTTCATATTTATAATTATGTTCAATAATGAAAATATGTACACAATCCTTAATGACGTTTAAATTCCATAACATAATAACCTAAATAACATAATTAATAAAGATAATTCACAACAACTATTATTGAATTTTGAGAAATATTTTTAATCACTTATTTTTATATTTTTACATATTAACATAATGAATAATGCATAAAATTCTAACACAAATTTTCGTTTTCCAATTTATATATATGTATATATATATAATTAATATCAAATATATATATGAGAATTTATGTTCTAACACATATAGAAACATAACCTTATTTTATATTATGCGTTATGCACGTTTATGTACATGGAAGAACTTAAATTGTTAATATGTTTAGAATGATTTTTTTTCAATAAATTTTAGCTCATTATAATATATAATAATAAATATTTTAACCTAATAATTAATATATAAAATAGTTAAAAATAATCATTTCAATAAAAATTCAGCTTAATAAATGAAAAATTCGATATGTATAAAACGAAATCTTATATAGCACATTTTGAAATTATCTCTTAATGCTTACTATCTATATTACATCATTGCATCTTTTTTCGATCGATAATATTAGAAGGAGATAAAGAATTGATAGATATTTACTATACTGTAGATAATACATCAATCTATTTCAGAATTTACTGTTTTTAAACTTAATTCCCTATCTTCTGTTATTATACTGTTTCAATTGGACAAGTTTAGCACGTGATGTTCAAATAGTTTATGTACGTAGGTGTGACTTGTCAGCTGATATATTATCAAGAATTGTTAAACTAACAATTCTTTTTTTAAATTTGCTCTGTTACTTTTGACTTTTTATAATAATGGCTCTTCATTCCGCGGGGAAAGGTAAACTTCTTGCTGTGATAGGAGATGAGGTGATTGAATTATAAATTACATATGTATCAATATATATTAATATATATAAATTTATCTTATTCAACATTTATAAAAGTTTCATTTTAGGATACTTGTGTAGGATTTCTCTTGGGAGGAGTTGGCGAGATTAATAAACATCGTCAACCTAATTTTATGGTTGTAGATAAAAGTAAATCAAACTTTTTTTTACAAGAAAAAATTTTTTAAAAAATTATAAAATTATCATATATTTATTTATATTTTACAGATACAGCTGTAAGTGATATAGAAGATACATTTAAACGTTTTATTAAACGAGATGATATTGATATTATACTTATCAATCAAAATGTAAGTATTTATATTAATAAAATTATTTATATTTATTTATGTATATATTATTATATATTATATATATTAATTATTTTTATTCATATTTTTAAAAAAAATATTTTATTGTTTTTATTTTTAATAATATATTTTAATAATAAAAAATGAAAATAATATTATTTTTTCAAAAAATAAAATTTATGAATTAAAACTTAGTTGGTTAATTAGATAATAATGACTAATTAATAATAACAACATATGTTAATATGTTTGTTAAAATATTTAAGGTTGCTGAAATGATCCGTCATGTAATTGATAGCCACACGCAGCCTATACCATCAGTATTAGAAATTCCAAGTAAAGATCATCCATATGATGCTACTAAAGATTCTATTTTAAGGCGTGCTAAGGTAAGATATATTATTTATAATTATACATTTGCAAATTAGGTAATGATAATTGTTATTCTCCAAAATATATTATAGTGTTTTTATTTATGAATAATATACTAAAAATTATATAATTTATTTTTTATATTACTTTATAATTAAATAGTATTAATTTATTAATTAATTAAATATTATATATAATTTTACAGGGAATGTTTAATCCTGAAGATATACATTAATTTAAAAATATAAAAAACAAAAATTTATGTTTTTAGATATAAATTTATTTGTTAATCTTTATATGTAATACAAGTTATATAGAAAAAAATATAAAAATGTATTCCATTATGTTACATTTAAAAAATTTACCAATTTTCAATTTATATATAATTATATAAAATATAAATATATAAATCTTGTGCTATGTTATATGATGTTATTTAATTCAATGTTAAATAAAAGAAGCTTATTCTATTAAGATATTTTATATTATAAAATTTTATAAAATTTGATTGGATACATATATATATTAAACTAAAATATATATATTAAACTAAAATTGAGAATTATCATTTATTGATAAATTTAATATCTTCATATATTTTATGTATTTCTATATATAAATAGATAAAAATAAATAATGTAGAAAATAGAATACACTAGAATACATTATATATTTTGTTATTAATAAATAGAAAGTTTTATTATTCTATTATTTTTGATTAATTTTAATTAACAGAAAATGATTTTAGAATTTATTTATATACAATTTGCTTTATAAATTATTATATTACAAATTATATTACAATATTAGAAAAATTTTGATAAAATTTTTTTTATACATGGATTCACATCACAGAAATTATTATACATTATAAATATGAAATCATATTCTATTCTTATTACTTTATATATTTTTGTATAGAATATACATATCTTCACTTTACTATAATATATATGTATATATATGTATATGTGTATATATATATATATATATATTACAATATTATATCTAATAATTCTAATAATTAATATTATAATAATAATAATTATATAAATAATATAAAATATATATATAATAATAATTAATAAATATTAAATCTAATTTATTAAAAATAATTATATTAGTTATATTTATTAATAATATTAATTCAATAAAAATTTCAATAAAATTTTTTAATGAACGAATAATGATTATTTATTTTTATTTTAATATAATATTTTAAATGCAATAAAAAATATATTAATAATTATAAAAACAGATTTTGAATTTTAAATAATAATATATAACTTTGCAGCAAAATTTGTGTGCAATTAGAAAATCAAAATTATTCTAATATGAGGAATTAATGAATTTTATATAATAAAATAAAATAATTATAACAATAATTAAAATAAATAATAATTGATAATTATAAATATTTAATTTTATAACCTAGAGAGCAAACTTCATATATTTTTTTTAATCTTATAATACATTATAAATTTTTGTTTAGCAAGAACACAGTCATCTGATGTTATTAATGTGAATAGATATGATATACAAATAATACTAAAGTAAAATACCAAAATTTAAAGTAATTTCAATTTTTTTATATTTATATTATATAAATTAATAATCCCGTTCTTCTATAGCAGATAAAAATAATTTTTGCACAGTATAAGTAATTTTGACTGTAACAAAAATTATAAAATTATTAAAAAAAATTAAAAACATAATAAAAATATATAGATATTACATACGATTAAATTGTTGAAACCACAATGGTCTATTTTTCCATTTAACACCTATGAAATAAGCTGGAATTCCAGATAAAGTTATTAAAGCACCAATTCCAACTTCATATGGCCTTTGATAGCAAGGAACAAATACTAAAAATGCACATATGGCCACAAATGTAACAGGAATCCATAAAGGCATCTATAAAATATATTTATAATTTTAATAAAAAAAAAAATTCTAAATTTATAATATATTTTAAAATAATATATTTATAACATAATATAATAATATAATAAATTTATTTACTTTAATTGGTCGATTCATATTGGGTTGTTTATAACGAAGCCATAAAACACCAGCTACTGATAGCATTATGAAAAATGATTCGACTATACTACAATATGTAATCAATACAAAAATATCACTTGTACACAGCATTATTAAAGACAACATACACTGAAAATGAAAAAAAATATTTAAATTCAAATAAATATTAATCTAGAAATTAACATTATATAGTGTATTTGAAAAAAATAGAAAATTTAAAGGATAATTCTAAAAATTAGTAAAAATTTCTAAACATAAAATATGCAAAAAATATGCAAAAATATCTGTTAAATCTGTTAATTTTTTAAGCACAATTTTATAAATGAGTCTCACTAATATTATAATAATATTAAAATTAAATTGCTTATAATTTTAAAAATTAATTTTAATAGATATTTTTGCACATCTTGCAATTTTTGTTTATTTTAATTTTTAGAATTATCTCTTAAATTTTTTATTATTTTGTCCAATATCTTGTATAATAATTATATATATATATATATATGTACAAGAAAAATCAAAGCAGGAGTGGGTGTAAATCTTGAAATATTAATATGACTTAACATGGAAGGAAAATGTCCATTTCTGGCACCAACAAAACACATTCTAGATGATGTCATAATGTGAACACTTAATCCTCCAAATGCAGAAATAGCTACCATAACAGGTATCGTCCATGCCATCATACCAAGAAGTTGATCTCCAAAAGTCTAATAAAAATTTATCTTATATTTTTAATAAATATATATTAATAAATACGAATATATTTATAATAAATTTTTTTAAATAAGATGTAATGTAAGAAATGTCCAATATGTAAAAAATAATACTAACCACAGCAATTGCACGAGAAGCGATCATCGCAGTTGGCGTTAAAACTGATAAATATGCTACATTTGCCAATACATAAATAAGAGTAATTAAAGGTAATGATATGTATATAGCTCGTGGTAAATTTCTATAAAAAAACAATATTGCTTATTTAATATTAAAAATTTAATCTTATATATTATTTTATATTACATACACATAGGGATTCTTTAATTCTTCAGTCATAAAATTTAAATAATTCCATCCAGAATATGAAAATATACCAGAATAGAAGGCAACTGCAATTTTACCAGGATCCGTAATTGTATTTTCAAATACATTTTCAAAATTTTCTGTATGTCCTGAAATAAATGATTAACATATAAAAAAAAATGATGAAAAATGATTATAAACTCATATATATATATAATATTATATTTATATATATTTATTATATATAATATTTTATATATAATATGTATAGATATTCAAATAATAATATGTTTATCAAATCAGAATGCAAATTTTGAATGATTATATTTTAAAAAATATATATCTTTCTAGACTGTGAAAAATATTTGTGATTTTTAAAGAATACAAAAAAAAATGTAAGAAATTTGTTATCCATTTTTAGAGAAAATGCTTGAAATAAAAATTATTTAAATAAAAGAAGTGAAAATATATTATATAATTAATGTATTCATATGATCTTAATTTTACATA